GGCTGAAGATAATCAAGGGCAGAGTAAATGGGATGGTGTATAATTTTAGGATCTTTGGGTTGGTGAAGGAAGACCTTAGTACTTTTATTTTCATTCTTTTTACTTGTGGCTTTGACTTTTATAAATAAATCTGCTTGTTAGCTAAACATCAATTTCATTCATTTTGCATTAGAATTGAACACTAGTAATACCTTTCACCACTCCACTACAAAACCGGTCAAAAGTACAACTCACCGGACGGCGACTTAAGTATGTCACGTTCACCTCCCTCAGGTTCACGGTCACAGAGTTACTTAAAATAGCGACAAGACAATGAACCAATCACAATTCACTTGAGCACTCCTCTGGATTGCTCCGGGGCCCACGTATTTTTGGCATGGAATAGTGCACAGTCTATGGTGTTTATTTTTAGATTGCCTACTGTGGGCTATGTTTTGGCGCTATCCGGCAGGAGCACATTTGAGATGTGCCGTCTTATTAATATTAATGTACCATCAAACTCTTAACAAGTGTCGTCATCACTTGGGTTATCCCAAAGAGTGATTTATAGGTCAGGTTTCCACTGTTATGTTTAGATACAGCGCATGGCATGGCATAGTAGATGTTTTACGGAGCGATAGAATAGAAATGACAGTTACGGCGCCAGCGAGGGCCTTGTTTTGATATATTTGGCTAATGTTTGTTTCTGGCGTCTTTTATTTTATTATTGAGGGTGCTTTACGTCATAGAACATTAAAACATTTTGGGCGGCACTGCACGACCGTGCTGTAGGGACGAACCGCGCCTGCATTCTATTTTGTGAATTGTGTAGAATTGGTCATATCATGTCTATGTTTTTGAATGAACGCTTATTGACAACGCTCGTGTCATCTTTTTTGTTTTCACGCATCGATTATTGCAACGCTTTACCATTTACTAGCTAACACACCAAATACCACTTTTCACAAGCTAGGCCTATAGGCTACAAAAGAAAAAGAAAAGGGATCACATTACTCCCATGTTAAGAACGTTGCATAGGCTCCCCGTGTCAGCAAGAATGGCATATGAAATTGCAATATTATTTCTTAACTGTGTCAATAAAAAAGCTCCCTCAAATCTTAGTGATCTCATCCAGATTTATTTTCCATCTCGATCACTAAGATATTAGGCGATCTGTACATTTTAAGAGTTTCTAGAAAGGCTGATGTTAGGGGACCGTACGCCCCAATAGCACTTGGCGCTAGGGGACCGTACGCCCCTATAGTGTTTGGCGCTAGGGGACCGTACGTCCTACTTGCGCAAAGGCGTGGTGTTACGGGACCGTACGCAGATGTGCATGCATCTGGACTTTGCAAAAATACTGGAGGAAAACGGCCAGTTTAAAACGAAGCTCCTGGCGTAAGGAGCATGTTTCAAATATCTGAACACGACTGTGAGGTATCCAGTGGGCGGGGTGAACCAAGATTTGAAATTTACTCACGTCTGCGTCCACGTTGTTGTTATGTGTCAATAAAAGAAATCAGAGAGAGAGAGAGAGAGAGAGAGAGA